CCTTTTTGAGAAACAAAATTCATAGCTCTTCACTTTAATAGGAACAAAAGTCAGGAAATACTATAAATCAATGATTTGAATAATAGAAAACAATTGTAAATAGTTTTTTTATAGTTATTAATCTAATAATTTTAATATTTCCTAGTAAGAGACATTTGATTTTTGTCCTTATCTCACCCTTTAGGAACTCATCTTTAACTATGAATACTCGAAAAAAAAAAATAAGTTGATTTAAGTTATTTTATAAAGACTTATAAGTCAATAGTACAGTGGTTAGCATTCTATAGTTTAATAATAAGATACAGATTCAAATTCTTCAAATAGCAATATCTGAAGTTGATAAAATTTGTATTCATTGATCTAATCATATCTAACTGACATTTCTAAATAAATATAATTACTTGTTATAAAGTATTTTAAGGAAAAAATACTTATTAATAAGTAGTATGGTCTATATAAGAATTGTGATTGGCTGTAATATCTGAAATTGCTAATATTATCTTGATGTCATTCAGTTACACAAATATTGAAACAAAGTAACAAATATAAGAGTAGATCCCTAAACTAGTAAGATATCATTGATAATCCAACATTGATCTTTGTATCACTTATTAACTTAACTAACAGAAGGTTTTGGTGAAAGGAGAAATCTGCAGACCACTTCAAAGAATCAAAAAATTGGATTCAGAATACTATATTCAATGACCTAATAATCTATCTACTCTAGTATATAATAAAAATATATAAGAAATAATTAAGATGGAATCATATAGTTTTTTGTTAAAGTAGTACTTATATATACTGTATATAGTATGATAAATATAATTAATCATATATATAATAGTTTACTATGATAGTTAATGTATATAAGGCTTATTTGAAAATATATACAATAGATATATTATTCTCTTCTTTCTTTCCTTCTTTGTCTATATAAACACATATGACAATGATTCTTATTTACTGAATAACTCAAATAAAAACTGTAATGCTTAGTTAAACATATAGTAGTAATAATCTGTTAGCAATAATATAGTGACTAGGAGAGTTTTATCCAAAAACACTGCAGAATGAAATATTGTTTTCAAGACTGAACTTAAAGGCTTTTATGTTTATAATGAGTTAGTTAGATTAGAATAATGGTTTAGCTGTAATATTCAGTATATTATACTGCTTGAATAAAAATGTATTTATGTTTTCAATTGATTAATAAATTGATAATCTAGCATGACTATAAGTACTCAAAAAAAAATAATTAAGCTATTTTATAAAAATATAATATTAGAACCAGCAATAAGAAGACTGGGTTTTAGACCTGTAGATCAATAGTGCAATACATGAGTTATTGATTCAATCTCACCTAGAAACAGTTTTCGCAAATAGGTTACATTATACAAGATGCATACTTATCATCACATGTACCCTTGTATTTATAAAATAATCTATAGATTTCCATCATTTGACCATGGTATGAAAACTCAGGTTACCCAAGCCTTGGCCAGTTTTAGCGCTAAGGAAATCTTCGATAAACCTGCTGCCTAAAATATATAAGGATCCAAGACAAGCTAGGAAAAATACCGATTAGCTCAAGCCTCTTAACGGATATGGGAAGGACATCCACCTCTTGTCAAAACTATATCTTATGAAAGATAAGGAAGACTTTGGTCATTTGCATCTGTCAAAAATATAATGGGCCATAACACAATTAATGGGAGACCTCAATGGATTGTAAAACAATGGCTATCAAAGAGGACAGCTATTGCGAAGGTTGGTGGTTAGCATTAGTGCCATGTTGGGAAACCTGCAGGGGCTGATCCTGGGAGAAGAAATTCAAAAACAATTATCAAGGTAACCAATCCAATAGAAGAAGCAATCCATTACGAAGTAACCAAGGAATACTCCTGTAAGGCCAACTTGCAAGAGTGGTTAAAAATAAGGCAAGGGAAGGCTATATGCCACTCAATTATGTGACACCATTGAATTACCTGAATATCAAGAACATAATCGGAGGACTGTGCTATTTATCTTTCAACTAAGCCTGTGAAAAATCCAAATACGGTAGGAATTATCCATGGTACCCACGTTCATCAAGTAGAATATAAAACTCACTTAAAAAGGAATACACAAATTATAAAAGGAAGTCCATAGCAGATCTTCAGAATGCTAGAGTCCCAGGCAGAGCAGGGCAACTGGCAAAAATGGTATCACTATGTGATAAAATTGGTGTATTTAGTTAGAATAGGTAGTCTAAAAAGGTTATATGAATTGCTTATATAATCTAACTTTACTGAATACTAATAAAAGCTTCATCCTGTCAGTTGGACTTTAATAAAAAAAAAAAAAAAAAAGAAGCTGGGTTTTTACATACAAGTGAAATATGCAAAATATAGTCAAGATGTAAAAATGGTAAACTATTTAGTAGAATGTCTAGCATATGAAAAGTAATTGTAAAAAGTATGAGCAAAAGGATTAGAAAAGATACTAAAGGGATTTAAGAAACTTTTTCAGAAGAGAAAAGAGGAAATGAAAGAAAATATGTACAACTAATTATAAAAATAGAAAGAAGATGAGAAAACTAAGCAAGTTAATCTCCAAACTTATGGAAAAAGTTTTCAAAAGTGGTTATAGGATACTAAGCTTTTGTACAGAACTTATGAGAAGTAACTGGCTTATTACAATAGCTAATCTCAAATATTGCAATAAAAGAATAGAACAAAAAGCTCTAAGGTAAATTACAAAGATATAAAAGAAAGTTTGTAACCATATCTGGAGAGAGATTTGGAATAAATATGTAAAAGGATGATTGAATGGAAACAATTATAAAGAATCAATAGAAAAGATAAAGTAAAAAGACCAGGCCTAAAAGTTCAAAAGATCAAGATCAAGGTCAAGAAACAATTAATTCCTGAAGAAGAAGGATTGAATGACAAGAATCTGAAGCAGATCTTAATGAAAGGAATTGAATACAGAATGAAATAGTTGGATTTTAATCTCTGTCAAAGCTTTGTAAAGTGATCTGCAGGTCAACATCCTAATAATGCCAAATTCACATGTATTACATTCTAGATCTTATGTTCATTTATTAACCTTATGATTATGAATAATATAAGCATCAGAAGCACGGATGGAGGCAAAAGTGACCTTTCTAAACTGTATTCCTCTTCAGCAGTTTATTTTTATTTTTTGTATTCGGAAAGCTCATAATGTACGCGTATCGATGTCACATATGCAAAAGTGAAAGGTAAAATCTCATTACTCTAAAACTAGATACTCTTTTAACGCACACATAAATGCAAAATCGAAGCTACAGTCTGTAGCACAAGTTGAATGACTTGATGCGAAATTACAACAACGATCATGTTCACTTCACTGTAAAATAGACCACCACCCATGCATTATACTATTATATTTCATAAAATCATTATAATTTTAAGCCTTGACTCTTAGACGCTGTTAAATATATAGTATTACAGAGTTAGTCATATAAAATAGCAGGAAATTCGAGAGATAACTATTTTAAGATAATTACCAAGTTGAACCGGATGTTTACAAAATTCACGAACTTCTTGATTTTCGCGTCTTCATCTCTCTGAGTTATCAAACTTCTCCATATATTGACCAACGCTTCATTCTTAGCTATAGCCATTCGTATAACTTGTTTTACTTGCTCCTCGTTTTTCTCCAGTTTACTGACTAAAGATAAGGCGAAGTCTGTAAACTCTCCATACTCAACATTTGTCAAATGACCTCGTTTTGCATTATAATCTTCTCCCTCACGCTTCCTCCTTTTCATGATCATTCGTTCGGCAAGCTCAGCCTCTAATTTATGCTTAATTTCTACAAGCGGTTGGAATGCTTCGGAATCTCCTGTAATAAAAAAAAATCATGTACAAAATGAGAATCGCGCAACACTGTAAAACAACATTTTGCTGTGATATTTAAAGCTTACCAAGACATATAACTATTTCTAATGCTAATGTTGAAAGCCTTCGTAATTTCTCATCATTCCATCTCCCTTCTATGTGTGCTATTCCAAGTTTTTTATGATTTACAGCTTCGACTTTAAAGGATTCAAATAGTGGTAATGGATCAGTCTTATACGTTCCTTCAAACAATGTTTGTTGTTGACCAAGCTTGAATAGAGATAAGTTTTGAGTAATGAAGCTGAGAAGGCATGATAAATCTGCGTCAGAGAAATCAGCTTTTCTTTGTGGGTTCAATCTTGAAACGAAATTCTCCTTGGTTTTATTAGGAATGCGTTGGTCATGTTTAATTATAAACCGATAAAATGACTTTTCTACAAATCCAAGAATTGGCTCCACGTACGCATCTTGTTCTGAAGGCAGAAATGAAAACCGCTGTGGGAGTTGTGAAGACAATGCATTAGTTGGTTTCTTTCTGGTTGCTAAAACTTTTTCTTTCATTATGTCGACCGCGAACTGAAATCTAAACTAACGCGTATGAATTTTTATCTTTTTGAGAACACATGTCACGTGATTATTGTCATGTGGCATGCCGCGTACATTTTCACACGTTCAAAAGAAAAATAATTTTATAAAGGCGACGCGACATGATTATGTAATGCACGGCAGCATAGTGAGGATAGTAAAGTATGAGAAATTATTACGTAAGATGGTTGAGTTGTGACTAATTGAGTGTTTTTTTTTTTTAGATAAAAAGGTATACAATTTTCCCCGCTTAAAAATTGAGTCGACATAATTATTGGCTTTGATTGAAAACTTTCGGTTTACGTTTTCCTAGAATACTATATACAGTATTATTTAAAGTATTTATTAAAAGTAATAAATACTCAAGTAATTTGTAAAGGTATTTTCTAAAAAAAATTTAGATTTGTTAATAGAAACTTATCTAGATTAGTTTTCTAAAGAAATTAAAAAAACTAGCATATTTAAAGTTCAAATGTGTTATTTACTGTAGAATAAAAATTAAAATTAAAAATAAAACCTAAACTTATATTTATTCGATCTAAAAAGAAAACTTTATATAACTTTTATTAATAGAAAGAAATAAAAAAAAATTGAATAATATATTAATATATTACTTTTTGATTAAAGTTTTTTGATATCTTATATTAATTATATTTTTTAAAATATAGAATAAGATTTTTTGATATCTTATATTAATTATATTTTTTAAAATATAGAATAAGAGATAACAATAAGAATTAAGAGAAAAACCAAATTTTTAAAAAGTATTTATTGATAATTCTTAAATAATTATTTATTTAAATGGATTTTTTTTTTATAACTTATAATTTGATTAAATTAAAAGTTTTTTTTTTTTTGCAATAACTCATTAAGTTAGTAATGTATTAATTAAATTAAAAGTTTATTAATCAATAAAATATAAAATATATATTTATTTAAACTATATAATATATATTATATTATAATTAAATTTCTTATGATTTATATATAATATAATAATAAAATAATGAATGTTTTAATTAAAAAAATCTTAAACTTTAAATCTTTTAGCAATTGAATGAAGAAAAATCTTGCTTTAAACAAAATTATTATAAAAATAAAATAATAAAATACTATTTTAAATAGTTCTATTGAATACTTTTTTTTTTTTTTTTTAATATAACCCGTTGTCAGGTTAGTTATGTGTGCTTTATTAAACATAATGTAGGCTATAC